CATTTAACGGATAGGAGATATGTGATTCGAGTCATCAAACATGCAGTAAATCACAAACCATTTGACTATGTGCCAGGATAGTTTTGAATGTAAGCTAAATATGAGGTTTACATCCATCTCTTCACTCACTTTTATAAATAGAATGGACTGCTTGGATTCAGTTCGATCCCGATCTGAAACGTGAAGCCGACAGTTAGCGACGGGTCGATCATAAACAATCTACCTCGATATTTTCACTGATGGAGCTATTGAAAATCATTATGTAAGAATGAAGCCGACATTAAAAAAGAAGTCCCTGAAAATTCTAAACTAATACATCGATCGATTAATCGGTTATCAAAACTTCAGATAGGTTTTATCTCTGACTTCTACTATAAGCCACTCTCAAGTTCCTAAAAGTCTATTCTAACTTACTTCGATTCTGTTCCATAGACGTTATCGTTGATACGTTTTCAATTGGTAAAATTCGGTTTTTTCGACGTAAAATCTTTGTTGCAACAAAAGATGCAATGTGTCGTATGATTAATGATAATATACCAATAGAGCCAGTAACAGCCGTGAAAATTAAAAAAATGTCAAAACGTCTTCTATATGAATATGAACAAAAAGGACAATTGCATTCTGAAAAATATTTATCAAATCGAATTTCAATTATTGTTTCATCTATCATTAATTTATTGAAGATTGATTGTACTGTTGAATACATAGAAAAATTTTTATTCGAATTATTTGATAATGGTTTAATATTCATCGATAATTGTCCATGTAAAATTGAAATACATGATTGATTATAATAACATTCAAGTGTTGAGTTAAGTGTACCATCAACGACTAAACAATCTACTACCATTCCTGGTATGTTAACTAAATGATCATAATTATCAATAAATGTAGCAGATCGTGGACAACCTTCAATATTTAAACAAGTACAATTACCAAATTTTTGAGCTGTCATTTTTGCAGATCCCGATGAATTTAAATGTGCTGGTGGATAACGTAAATAGAAATTTGTTTGTAAAGCTGATACAACTTGATTGCCACGTGCCATACGTTGAAAAGTAAGTAAATTACGAGTTGATATTGTTTTCGATAGATCTATTTGATTTTGAAGAGCATTTTCAGCTTGAACTCGAATAACTTGTTCAGCAACTGCCATAGGAGTAATAAAACTTGTGACACCAAAATTTGTAAGAACATCATTCCAACTTTTGTTACTTGCTATACATAAACCAGCAATTGTTTGCCAAAAAAAACTAAGAGTAATACG